AAGCTGGTCGTGACCAAAGAGAAGGAGAAGAAAGTCGGTCTCTACACCATTTACGTGAACCCAGCCAACACCTACCAGTTTGCGGTGGGCGGCAGAGATGAATACGTCAGGTCAGCAGAGCCCCCTCCCCCCCCTCCCGGTGTGTCTGGGAGACCCTGCTGGGCCCTTGACCTTCAGGAAGGATATCCGCCTTGTCCTTGCTTGGGCTTTCGTCATACCTTAAAAGGCTGTTAGTGTGAGGACTAGAAGCTTGTTTTTGACTGGGAGAGAACGAGGCTGGGGACTCTCCTTTGGATCGCAGGTCTCAGCTTTCCTTTTCTGCCTGTCTCTGCGCAGGATCTACGATCAGCGGAAGATCAATGAAAACGAGAACAATGGAGTGTTGAAGAAGTTCTGCCCTCACCACCTGGTGAGACCTTCTCTTCTGCCCCACACACACACCCAGGTTCCCTTGCCCTCCCCTCCTGCCTCTGCTCCAACCTTAGCAGGGGGGACTAAGCAGCTTGAGGGTCTTTCCAGAGGGAGCCCCAGACATCCCACAGATGTTTGCCCCCCCCCCCCCAAGTTGTGGCTTTCCAGGCTCCATCCGTCTTCATCCTGGGATCCTTCGCTTCTCCCCTCCCCAGCCTCGGATTCCGGTTTTGCCAAAAGTGGCTCTCGGTGGGGAAGGGGAGCGGAGGAGCAAGCGGGAGCTGTGGGGGGGGGGATTGACAGAACTCTGCCCCTCGATCTCTTCCAGGTGAACAGCGAGTCAAAAGCCAACATCACCTGCCTGGTCTACAGCCACAATGGCTCAGGTAAGGGGCCGCGGGGAGCACGGGTCCTCCAGGGCTCGGAGGCTGAAGGCCAGAGCTGCCCCTCTGCTGTGGGGCCTGGCTGGGTGGCCGCCCCCAGGCGCTCCTTTGTGCATCTCTTGCAGAGCTTCTGGCCAGCTACAACGACGAGGACGTCTATCTCTTCAACTCCTCTCACAGCGACGGAGCTGAGTACATCAAGAGATACAAGGGGCACCGCAACAACGCCACAGGTGACCCCCCCCCCCCGGCCCTTCCCCGGTTGGCTCTGGCCGGCCTGATATGGGGCTGGGGGAGGTTCCTGGGGCCAGGTCTCCCCCTTTTGGCCGAAGGAGACAAGGGTGGAGCAGTTCAGTGCACATCCATGTAAAATGGAGGCCAGGGATGCATGTAGAGGGGCCCGTTTCCTGGGGGGGGGGATCAGCCATAGTGATCAAGGCCTGCCGTGTCCTTCCGAGGGACCCACCTTTAAGCGGCCGAATCAAAGGCAGCCCAGTTACCCAATCAAGAGGGTTTGTCTTCGGAGCAGGTGTGGGACGCAACGCCCCTGGGGGGGGGTTCCAAAGCCTGGCCTGGCCTGAGGGGTCTCTGGGTCTGCTTGCAGTGAAGGGGGTCAACTTCTACGGCCCCAACAGTGAGTTTGTGGTGAGCGGCAGCGACTGCGGCCACATCTTCCTGTGGGAAAAGGACTCTTGCCAGGTGGTGCAGTTCATGCAAGGCGACAAAGGCGGAGTGGTGAGTGTGGGGCGCCTCGGGGCTGCGGACCAAAGACGGGTAGGGGGCTCCCAGGTGCGCATGTGGGGCCCAGTCCCCCTCTAGTCCGCACATGGCTGCCCCCTGAGCTCGTTGGACCCCCTGCAAACCTTTCTGTCTCGTTGCCCTTGCAGGTCAACTGCTTGGAGCCTCACCCCCACCTCCCGGTTCTGGCCACCAGCGGCTTGGATTACGACGTCAAGATTTGGGCCCCCACTGCAGAGATGCCCACCCAACTCACCGGCTTGAAGGAGGTGGGGAGACTTCGCACCCCCCCTCAATATGGGTTCAAACCCACCTTCCCAGGGAGGATGGACATCCATGCCAGTGTCCATCCTCACCCTGCTGCTGCCCCCCAGGTGATCAAGAAGAACAAGCGGGAGCGGGACGAGGACAGCCTGAACCACGCGGACATGTACGAGAGCCACCTGCTCTGGTTCCTCATGCACCACTTCCGGCCGCGGCGGCGTCACAGGGTGAGCGGCCCTTCCCGGCTGACTCGGGGCGCGGAGAGCCTCCCTGCTGTGGCGGGGCAGAGCGCGGGGTCCCTCCGCAAGCCACCCCAGGGTCAAACCGTTTCTGGGACCCCTGAACAAGGGTCCGCCCTGGGCCTCCTGAGTGGGCCTGCCTCTCAAAGGCCCGGAAGCTGCTTCTCAATTCATCTTGCGGTGTCACACATAAGGGGGTCCGAGAAGACCGGGGCGCCTGTGACGCTGAGGCTGCTTCTCTTCCGCAGCGCCAGCGAGATCCAGGCACCGGAGCGGCCGACAGCGACTCTGAGGACTCCCTCAGCTCGTCCGACAGCTTGGACGAAGACGAGGAGGGCCCGGACCGGGTGCAGTGCATGCCTTCCTGAGACCCCTGGAGACACGGAATGGGCTGTGGGGGCGCCTGCCCTGTTGAATTAGCCACCCTCTTCCTGCTTTAGATGAGAGACCAGCCCTCACCCTGCCTGCCAGCCCTGCTTAGCGGGGGGGGGGGGCTGCTCAGCTCAAACTCCCGCCCTTGGACTCCGCTCTCTGCAGCTGGGGGAGGGGGCCCTGCTTCCCCTTCCTCAGCTGCCCTTTTCAGCACCAGACTTCCCAGAATTGGGGGGGGGGGGTTTGCCACCTGTTCCCTGCGAAGCTTCTTTGGGGTGGGGGGATGAGCTGGCTTGATTCCTCTCCTTTGCGCAGGGGTGGGGGCTCCAGCAGCACCTTGGGAGATGTACCTTTATCTCTCTCCCCCCCCCCTTCCCAAAGACCCGACTGCTGCATGTTGCACCCAGGATGAGCCAACTTGGGATTCTGCTCTTTCATTGAAAATTTGGGGGCTTTGATCCCCTCTGGGTTTGGTTTTTTTTTAATTATTATTTCCTGGTTCTTTCTTTCTTTCGGTGTGTTTTTTTCTTCAGCAGCTCTTGGCACGAAGAACCTTCCCTCCCTCCCGTCTAGGGCCGCCTTTGTTCTCGCGAAGGGCCACTCCGCGAACTCCTTGGAGCCTAACGTTGAAAAGGTCGGAAGGCAGCCCCCTTGGGCTCCAGCTTGGCAGCTGCCCCGAACTGGAGGCGAGGGGGGTGGGTGGGTGGGTGGGCAGCCCCCGCAAGGGAGTTGCTGTGGCAGCCCTGCCAGCAGCCTTGTTTTTTCCCCCCCCCCTTCATCTTCAGGATAATCTCTTGGTTTTGAAAGCAACGTTTTCTCCCCCCCCCCCCCCGATTGCTGTTTAGAGGCCTAATTTTATATGTATTAAACAAGACAAGAACCAAATTAAACTTGGGTGTTATCAAGTTAAAATTATTGTAAAAGTTTAAATATATATATATATATATATACACATATATATATTATATAAATGGCAATAAATGAATTGAGAGACCTTAGTGGTACGTATGGCCAGCATCTACGCTTTTCCTTTGCTCTCCTGCGGCTGCCTCGTGTTCCGACGGCCACTCGGTCTCGTTCGTCTCTTCCGTCTCCCGTCTCTCTATAATTGTCAGTTACTCTAGAGCCTTCAAGTTTCATTGTGAGTCTTAGTGTGTTGACTTTCTTTGTATTTTGGAGAGAGTAGGGGATTTTGAGGGGGGATTTTTTTTTAGCAAATGCTGGGATGTCCTTGCCTGCTCTAGGGCGGGGGCTTGATGCTCCCCCACTCAGGGCACGGGAGAGGGGTGCTGCCTGATCCGTGGGGCTAAGTGTCCTAGTGCCCAGCTTGTCCATGGTGTCCATGGTGCGGTTGGTTCACAGCCAGATACATTACAGCTGGGTCTCTGGTTAATTTTAGCAGCAAGAAATGCTGGCTGGGATTTGGAAAAGCAGCATAAGGCAGGGTGGCTGCCGCCAGGGTGCCCGCGCTGCCCTGTGGGTGCATGTGGGCTTTAATGCACAGCTCGACAGCCCTGCGAGGTAGGCCCTTACAGCTCCTTTCGTAGCTTGTTCGTATCGTAGTGATGCAATCTTCCGTCCGATGTACCAACAGCGGTGTGTTTGGTTTCTTTCTTAAATGATTCTGCAATCGGAGACGAAGGTGGGGTTTTTTTGTTTTTTTTTTGAAGTTAGAAAAACTATTCTGTTACAATTCCTCTTTGCTTTTTTATTTTTTTGGTCCACTTGACAGAAGAAAATAAGTTAACACTGAGCACTCCATATTATATTTAATATACATATATTTATAATATATATGTACACACAGTTAGCACGGTCTGAGCGTCGAGGTCGGGGACGTTGGGAGGAACGGTGGAGAGCTGGCAGCAGAGGGCAGGGTTTGTGCCTTCCCTTCTGTCGCTCCTTGGAGCGACAGGGTCCTGGGAGAACCCCCCCTCCGCTGTTGGGGCCATCCTGAAGCCAGCCTGTCGTCCCAGAGGAGGGCCCTTCCGCTCGGGGGCCCCCTCCGGTCTCCTGGAACCCTCGGTCAGGACAAGGGCGCCTTGAAAAGCCTCTGCCAGAGGCTCTGAAGGTTTTACGCTGCTTTGCGCTTCATTTCATTTTGAGAAATTTGCTTGCTCTGAATTCCACACACACACACCCCTCACGCCCGCCCCCCCGGGATACTATTTTTACTTGGTGCTAATTTGGAGTGAGATCAGCACCAACTGTTCCGCTGTAAACACTGGAAGAGAAACATACTAATTTAAGGCCAGTTCAGGGCGAAGATGAGTGTCCCAGGTTGGTCCTGGGTGGCCAAGAGCAGCCCTGACCTCGCGGGCGGAGCCAGCCTCCTGGGCACCATGGCTGCCCCTCGGGTGGGGCAGAGGCGGGAGGCTTGACCTGGAGCCGTGGGTGTTTTAGGGGCCTTGGGTAGGGGGCTCTGCTCTGCCAGAGCATCTGGTGGCCTGCATCATCTCTTGCCTGACCCCAAAACGCGTGAAAGCAGATCGCGGAGAGCCTGGGAATTAAGTCCTCTTCCCCATCTTGGGAAGGGCCCCTGTCCTTTCTGCCAGCTCTTTTTTTTTCAACCCTTGGGGCACGGCATGTGGGCCTGGCACCCCAAAAAGCCAGACCCGCCGGGCCCCCACCGACCCGGGCCAGCACCCAGGCTGCACGTGACGGGACAGAAGTGGGGAAGGGCAGCGGGAGACAACGGAGGTGGCTTTGAGGGTAACACCATGTTAAGAACACAGTTCTAGCCCAGCTCTTTTCTATGCACACAACAAGCACAACACGAGTGTCGGGAACGGTTACGCCGCTTGTAAGGGGGGGCTCGGGAAGCCGAGGAGCGCAGGATGTCAGGGCGAAACAAAAAAATATATTAAAACAGAACACGCTTCGCATTCTCAGCGCCAGAGAAGCAACTTGGCCGTTGCCCTAAGACCCCCCCACCCACCCCCTGGCCTTTTCAGCCCTCGGAAGGCTGAGCTGCCCGGTCTCCTCTGAGCAGAGGCGGGCAAAAGCCGCTGGCCAGCATGGGGCACCCACATTTTGCAAGCGCCACCCACGCGGTGGCCGTTTTGAAGGGAAGGCAGCCGGGTCCTGTGGCCTTGGCCCCGAACCGAAGCCAGCTGCCGGAGGTCCAGTCGGGCAGGAAGGAAGTAAGTCATCTGGGCTCCCTTCTGCACCCCGGCGGGGGAGTGGGATTAGGGGCTCCCAACACCCGGAGGGTGGGGCTGGTTTCAAGGCGGGGAGAAGGGCCTGGGAGGGGGCTGCTCCTTCCCCCAACGCCCCTTGTGCAGGGCAGCGCAGGGACTCGGGCACCGGCCACCTGGCTTGGGCCTTGGGTGCAAGCGTGGCCAAAGGGGGCGACTGACCCTTGCCCCCCACCCCCCGCCAGAGGCACAGGAAGGGAGTAGAAAAGGAGGCACCCATGGAAATGCCTGGAGAGGCCATTGGGATGGGAAGGCACCTTGTGGACAGGCGGGGGTCTGTGGCGGGGGGCTCTGGTCCCCCTGGTCCTGCTCCCTCTGCTCGGGGGGGGGCTCTGATCCAGCTGGGAAGGAGCAGACGCCCCCATCCGATCTCTCTTCTTGGTCCGTCTTCTTGATTTCTTGGTCTTTTGCTTCCCCACCAGCCTTCTGCACCCCCAGTGGACCCCGGAAGAGCTGCCTATGCCCACACCCTGCTCTTTCCCCACCCCCCAGAAAAAGAGGGCTCTGTGCCTGGGCTACAAGGAAACTCCACAACACCCCCGCCCCCCTGGCTTTCTTGGTCCAAACTGTGCTAAGCAGCTGCAGCCATCACTGACTCCTATGGGGAACTGGGCGTGGAGGGGGGCAGAGAGTCTCTAGGGCAGCTGCAGGAAATCCTGGGGTCCCTGGCAAGGGATGGCTGGAGGAACCCTCTCCCCACTTCTGCTCTCCCCCCCCCCTTGCATCCCATCTCTTGCAGGCTCTTGGAACAGAGGGGGCAGGAGCTTGCCCGGTGGGGCAATTGTCTGGCCTTCCTCTGGCACTGGTCCCAAGGCTCTCTAGAGCCCCCCCCCCGCTCTCCCCCTGCTCTCTTCCCTCCCTTCCTCTCTCTCTCATCCACTTCCTCATTCCTTGCAAAATTGGCCCCTGGTTCCACCTGTGGGTCGGCTCTTGCCCGGTGGGGTGGCGTTGGGGAGCAGCAGCAGCGGAGGGGGGGAGGCGTTACAGCCCCCCCATCCTCAAACAGGCCTCAGCAGCCTCCCAGAACGTGTACCAGCCAGTGACCAAGCTGAGAAATGGGGGGGGAGGAGTAGGAGGAGGCATGGACACCCCCTATCTCCCTTTTCCCATGCTACCCCTTTCCCTATCCGGCCGGGGCAAGGCAGAGACGGGCGTAAGCAGAGGGGGGCGAAGGGGGAGCCGCAAAGTGCCTGAGCAGGAGCAGTGGAGGGGGGGTGGCAGTGATCCTCGGAGGTGGGCCCCTCCACGCACACATACACACACACACACAGACTCTCGCACGCACAGGGTTCAGGCCTTTTTGGGAGGGGGGGCCAGTTTGATGATCTCTTCCTCCGAGGGCTGCCGGATGATGTCTGTGGAGAGAGGGGGGGGGCAGAGGTCAGCAGGGCTTGTGGGAGAAGGAAATCCGCCCCCACCCCCCTCCAGAGAGAGGGCTGGCCCTCCACAGCGGGGCGGGGGGGCGCTCCTGACCTTTGTACTTTTTGGCACTGGGGATGCGGGTCAGCTTGGTGTCCACCTCGTCCTCCTCCGAGATCTTCAGCACTTGCGTGCGGTACTCCACCACCCTGGTCAGAAGGTCCGGCCGGCGGGAGATCTCGAAGATGTGCTCGATGTACGAGAGGTGGTCTGCGCGGGGGACACGGGCGCCATCAGGGCAGGGACGGGGATGCCAGGGGGGACAGTCTGGGCGTGTCTGGGCTCCCCACGGGGCCCCGGGCGAGCAACCGGTTGCGCGTGGGGCTGTGGCTGCTGCGGCAGCCTTGGGAGGGGAGGGGGGGCTGCGTCTGCCAGCAAGTCAGATGAGGCGGGTGGGTGTTGCAGGCGGTGTGAGGCTGCCTGTGGCTGGTGCAAAGGCAGGGGAGAGCGAGCGGGCGGGTGGGCGATGTGCAAAGTCTTGCGGACGCATCCAAAGAGGAGCTTTCCTTCTCCTCAAAAACAAATGACATCACTTAACACCACCACGGCACCATCTGCCCCTTCTTGGCCGGCTCGCTTGGGGACGGAAGCATCGGGGCTCTTATCCTAACCCTTTCTACTCCCCACGGCTGTTTTGGGGGGGCTCACTGGGCATCCGGACTCCCCTTTGCCAATTTCCCCAAGTGCCCCCCACCCAGACACCTGCGTTGAAACCTCTCTGCTCAGCATCGCTGGCACTATTGGGGTGGGCAACCGAGGGCTTGCCCGGCACTACTGGGGCACCAGCAGAGACTTTGGGGGGCAGGCTTTCCACGAGCCTCTCTCCCTCGTCTGAACCGCAGCCACCCAGGGGACCTCCGTCCCCCCCAGTTCCCAGGCCGCCATCTTGCCATGCAGCGCGCACGGCGAAGGGGCCTATAGATTTTCCCTGCCCCCCCCCCCCCATTTCCCACCTTTGTCCAGTTTCTTGTGCTTCTCCAGAAAGCCGAACCAGTCCTTGCCGGTGGCGATTTCCTCGTTCTTCTCGCTGGGGATGTCCTCCTTGCAGGCCGACTTCAGCTGGTCCAGGTCTTCGTTGGTGATGTTCTCGGCCAGCTCCTCCAACAGGCTGCTGTACTCCGCCATCTCTGCAGGGGAGGAGAAGGGGGGGGGGGTTAGGCCCCGAAAGGCATTGCGGGGAATTGGGGCAACAGCCCAAGGCAGGCGCAGGTCCTTCCGTGAACGCCTCGCCCGTCGCCAGAGAAGTGGGTGCTGCTTTGGCCAGGCTAGGCATCGGCTGCAGCTGCTTCAGCCTCCCAACGCCTTGGCTGGGCTCTTTGGGGGTCAGGAAAGGGCCGTTTGCTGGGCCCAGGGGGGGCACCTGCCCCCCCCTCCCCTTCCTCCGCTCCTCTCCTACCTGACTCTGCAGCTGGAGCACCTAGCAGGCTGCTTGAGCAGTTAGACGGAGGGCAAGTGGTGCCTTGGAAGGCTCCCCCCACCCCTGCCCAGAAGAGTATTCAGACTGACGGCTGGGGTGGGTCTCCCTGCTCTCCTCCCCCCCCCCGCCCCAGAACAGACTTTCTGCATCCCGGCAGAAGCCTGACTTCCGCTCTGCGCTCTGCCCAGCGGCTTAGCGATGGGGGATTAGAGCGTTTTTCATTTGGAAAGGAAGACCACAGGAAATAATGTCCAGACAGAGGCAGCCCCCAGCTTTCCAGGGCACTCCAGAGTCCCTGACGGGGGGGGGGGCGCATCTGGCCTTGGATGGGGAAGGAGGGATGGGCTGGGTCAGATGTGGGTCAGGAGAATGTGCCTATTTTTTCCAAGAGGAAGGCGGCACAACCGCCCCCCTCCCCCCCCGGGCGGTGTCCCTGCTAGGTGTTGTCAGCTCCCAAGGAAGAAGTGACACTGTCCCCAATGGGTGCCATCCTATAAGGGGGTCGTCACACCCTTGAGACCCCGGCCACGCTCCGTCTTTCTAACTCCGCGTCAGACGCCTAAGTCTACGTGTGTTTTTCCAAGCTCACCCACTTGCTTGGCAGATGCGTCCGTTGCTTTCCGAGCGGGACCTGATCAAAGCTCCGCACGTCGCTTGCTGACTGGCGTGGGAGGGGGCTCCCACCCTCCCCTGCCAAAGGCAGCCTTTCTTTTCCTTCTCTCCACCCCCCTCTTTGCCAGCAAAGGCCGAACCGGCAGGGCCTTCCCCTTGGGGGCACCCAAATTCCTTTCCCACATAGATTCCTCAGACGTGAGCAGAGATTCTGGAGGCACAAAGGGGTTTATTTTCTTGAAAACAACCAAAGGAGCCAAGCACATCCTTCCCCCTCTTTTTATTTCTCGGAGCAACAGGGTCCAACCCTGTGTTTTGCCGGTTCAACGCAGCTCCCTCTTAATTCGGTGATTTATTATTATGCAGAGATAAAACAGCAAATAAAAAAAGGTGAGTTTCCAGACAGCAGTTAAGAGCTCTGCTTCCACACAGCCCACCTCTTCACTTGAAAAATGCTATTTGTCTGAAAGAAAGCCTTGGCTTAGAGTTGGTCAGCGAGAGGAGAGAACCGTGAAGGTGTGGGAAGCTGGGTCTGTAGCGAACGCCCCAAGCTATCCCTGCCCAGAAACCCTGCAAGCACCGGAGCAACGGCACGAGTCCTCCCCCCTCCCCGCTTTATGGCACTCTTGTTCCTGCCCAGGAAGGAAATAAAAGCCATGTATGCAAATCTAGACAGCATACTCAAAAGCAGAGACGTCACCCTGCCAACAAAAGTGTGTATAATCAAGGCCATGGTTTTCCCAGTTACAATGTAGGGCTGTGAAAGTTGAACTGTAAGAAAGGCTGAGCGCCAAAGAATGGAGGCCTTTGAACTCTGGTGCTGGAGAAGACTCCTGCGAGTCCCCTGGACCGCAAGGCGATCCAACCGGTCAGTCCTGGAGGAGATCAACCTCGACTGCTCTTTAGAAGGCCAGATCCTGAAGTTGAAACTCAAGTCCTTTGGCCACCTAATGAGAAGGAAGGACTCCCTGGAGAAGAGCCTGATGCTGGGAAAGATGGAGGGCAAGAGAAGAAGGGGACGACAGAGGATGAGGGGGCTGGATGGAGTCCCTGAAGCAGCAGGCGTGAGCTTCAATGGACTCCAGAAGATGGTAGAGGACAGGAAGGCCTGGAGGAACGTTGTCCAGGGGGTCGCGATGGGTCGGACACGACTTCTCAACTAACAACAACAAATGCCAGTGTAAATGCCACCGCAGTACGGCCAGGTGTGCCACAGGTGGCCTTCCTGTGCCTTTTGCAGCAGAAGCACCCAGGCGCCCTCCTTCCACAAGACCCATCTTCCTGCTCTTCTCCCTGACAGGTGGGGTGGCTACAATCGGGCCCAGCCCAGCCCTGGGAACCAGAAACCCCTCAAAGGAAGTGCGAGGGCCACCGCCTTCAAGCTCCTCAGCCCGATGTCTTGGCCCGCCAAGCAACGGACTCTCTGGATCTCCAACCCACCCAGAACCCCCATTAATCAATCTGCTCCTGTGCAATTATTCTCACGCCTTCCCTGTAATTCTGGTGCACCCAAGTTCCTCCAGGTAGCACCACCTGGGCCCTGCCCAGGGAGGGGGGGGGAAGCCGCCAGATGTTCTGGAAGAGCCCCCCCAAATCCAGCCTCAGTTGGGGCTTATTTCCCTCCCGCAAGCCAGGCTGTGGTCTGCTGCTGTCCCCCTGTCCTCTTTTTTCCTCTTGCTGGGCCAGTCCAGTTGTTGCTGCAGTAGGGAAGTATGGGGCCGGCCAGCGGGGACAAAGGGGCTGGTGGCGGGTCCAACCTGCTCTGCCCTTCTCCTCTGGGTACGCAGCATCATCTGGGGTGGTGGGCACCCCGTTCCCTGCTTCCAAGGGCAGGCGGAGAGGATGGCCCAAGAGCACTCTGCCCCTTTTCATGCCCCGCCCCCACCTCGTTAGGGGACTTGACCTCTTTTCTTGTCCTTTCAAGGCCCCGAACAACGGCCTTCCCCAGCTTCCCCCCACCAGGCTTGCCAAGTGGCAGAAAATCCAGGACCTGGCAGAGGAGGCTGGGAGCCTGGCAGAGCTGGCACGGGACCCGCTGCACTTTTCCCAGGCTCCCGAACCCCAGGAGAGCCTCGGCCTGGCATAGCAGAGAGAAGGAGTGGGCGCTTGGGGCCAGGCAGCTGGCAGAGGGGATGGGCAGCTCAAGGCCAGTGGCAGAGCCGTGGGGGGTCCGGTGGGCATCCGCCACCCGTTGCAAGGCCCGACCGCTCCTGCGCCAGCTGCTTCCCCTGTGCCAGCCATCGGCCCGGATTAAGCCGGCTAGTCTAAGGGGGTCAGAGACGCAGGGGGGCGGGTGGCCTCGATCTGCTCGGAAGCAGGAGATGCGCCAGATGGGCCTGGGTTTAAAATGCTCCATCTAGGACAGCTGCTTTTTGCTGGGGAGGGGGGCCTTTCGAGTCCCCCCCCCCGCAACACAGGGCAGCTTTTCCACAATCTGGCCGTCCCCCAGAGGACTTGGGCCACACCTCCCATCGTCCCTAGCCACTAAGGTCAAGCGTGCTGCATTGCCTCTGGAAGGGCTTGGGTGCAAATCCTTACGTGACTCTGAAGGAGGCGCCCTGAGCAGCCTTAGGCCAGTTGTGACTTCTTGGCATGTCCAGATGCAGTTGGGGAGGGAGCAAGGGACGGTGGGGATGCCCTCAAGAGCTGCTCTTCCCGCCACACTCCCTCCCTGCTCCTTGCAAAAGCCCAGTCTGGCTTGCCTTGTGTTTTCTTCTTCCCTCCCCTCGCCTTTTTCCTTTTGTGCTGTGACTGATCCCTTGTAACTCTGCAGGCCAAGGGCTGCTTTGTTCGGAGCTTAAGTTATGCGAAGCACGTGGACTTGGAGGCCTGCAAAACAAGGCCAAGGGCCTTTAAATAAATGCAGAGCAAAATGGCCAAGCTTTTTAGCCACATGTGGGCTGAATGGAAGAGCAGGAAAGGCTGGATATAGGGGGGGGGTCAGTTGGGGGGGCTGGAAAAGCATTTTAAAAGAGGAAAGGAACACATTTCTTTCTTTGCTTTGGGGAGGCCGAGGGATCCTGCCGCTCTCCTTAGCCAGGGGAAAAAAACAAGGATTTGGGGTTGTTGTTGTTTTTTTTGTCCTTCTGCTTTACAAAAGGAAAGATTTTCTTTCAAGGCAGTTCTTTAGCTTAAAGTTTGGTTTTCTGCTTCTTTGCAAAGGGGGCTATTTATACAAAAGGTCAGTTTCTCAGGAAGCAAAAGACCACCACCCTATTTGGTCCAAGATGGTCTCTGCAGTAGCAACGCCATTTACAGATGCAGTTTCACTCTTGGCTGAAATATTCTAGACTAGAAACGGAGAGCATTTGGCTATCATAAGATGGATGCCCTTCAGCTCAAGAGAGGCTTCAGAAAGAGGGAATTTTTTCCCCCTTAAAAACAGAAAAAGGCACACAGGCATTTGGCTATTTCTTTCGTTAGCTAGGAGCAGCTTCGCTTTGCTCAGTTATTAAATATGGATTAATTTCTGGAAGAAACCAGCTGGAGAGGCAAAGCCGTGGACTTTATCTGACAGGACTGGAAAAAAAGCCCATTTTATTCCTTCTTATTTTTAAAGCATGAGATAGTCCTTTCACTCCTGCCTCTAATGTCTTTTGCTTTGTAAATTCATTATATCTAACTTTAGGCTGTCTTCTCCCGGTTCCGCCACCTCCACAAAAGAACAAAACACGATTAAAAGCAATAAAAAAAAAACAATAGTAATCAAACTCCATCCAGGATGTGCAAAGTCCCCCAGTACCGCCGCCGGCTCGTAAAATAGAGAACTGCATCTGCAAAACAATCTAAAGTTTACTCAGAGGGAACCTTCCAGTCACGCTTCCTTAATCAATTTCCTTCTTAACTTGTGATTTCTAGAGAGAGATGGCTTTTATGAGAAAATAGAAGGGGAAATTTATTTAGTTTTTAGCTCTGTCGAATGCCGCCCAGAGTCGCTTGTTTGTGAGATGGGCGGCTGTATAAATTGGTTTAATAAATGAAATAAACAAATCCCTGCTGCGAAAAACAAACCAACGCTGCAGTATTGGCAGGTTCTGCAAATTCCTCTTCCACAGCGGGGAGCCCCTTTTGTGGGCTTAAGCCCTGTTCTTGCTGA